GTATGTTTTTTTTTTCATTTTTTTTTTATGTGTGTTACCTCAGAACTTTTTTCTGGGTGAACCGATTTCGATGATTCTTTTTTTATTTGAAAGCTGGTACTTCTCGTGTGGTCCCATATGAATTTGATCAAGGTCAGACCAATAGTTTTTAAGTTATTCTTAAATAACTTATATTGAAGTCGGCTGTACAAAATTTTTAATTTTAAATTATTCTTTTAATCCGGTTTCAAATCACAACAATTCTGAAAAAGTTTTCATTTCAAAAATATTTCGTAGAAATGTAAGATCGGCTACATGTAATGGGCGCGACGGACACTTCCTTGCACTACAACCCTCTCAGAACTAAGAAGAGGCCTGTGCCCAGGAGTGGGACGTATATAGGCTGTAACTTAACTTTTGAAGTGAAAACTTCTTTACAATCGTTGTGATTTGAAATTCGATGAAACGTAAAAGCGACACTAAATACCAGCAATAATGATAGTTAATCGTTCCCATAACAGACAAGCATGTATGTATAGATATATGGATGTATCACATCATCACAGGAAGCGAGAGGTGTGTCAGGATCAGTCCAAATCTATACGTAGTAGAGGCACGCTGCAGCTATATTATGGTTGTAGCACGAGTGCGTCGGCTCGACCGAGGTAGGACCACATTCTCACAGAATACCAAGTAAAATAGCAGCAAGCATTAATGCTGTTTCGTATGGTGAGTGTAGATAAACGGAGACACTTTCTACTGGTAACGCATTTGCATTTTAATTCTTATTCTAGGATAAATGCAAATGTCTGTCCTCTGATAGGCAACAGCATTCACTTACCATGACAAGCGCTAGAGTTTTTCTAGTGAAAAATAATTGCTTTTTCTGAAATTCTAGATACGCAGTACCCGTCATCGGTTTGATGTGCTTCGCTCTACCCACGTTGGTTCCGGTCTACTTTTGGGGGGAGAGCCTCAAAATCGCCTGGCACATGACGCTACTAAGATACGTCCTGACCCTCCACGGCACATTCCTGGTGAACAGCGCTGCACATTTATGGGGCACCAAACCGTACGACAAGAACATCCTCCCGGTCCAGAACGCACCGTTGTCGTTGATAGTGTTAGGCGAAGGCTTCCACAACTACCACCACGTCTACCCATGGGACTACCGTACAGCGGAATTGGGGAATAACTGGTTGAACTTTACGACACTATTCATTGACTTTTTCGCGTGGATCGGATGGGCCTATGACCTTAAAACTGTGTCGGATAGCATGATCAGGGCAAGGGCAGATAGAACTGGCGACGGGACGGATAAGTGGGGAATGGGCGAGAAGCATGAACATTGTGATAAGTCTCAATAAAATTTGTTGAACCGTTATTTTTTATTCTTATAATTAAAATGCAAAATAAAATGTTATATTTTTACAAATAATTATAAAATTTAATAAAACTATGTAATGTTACGGATTTTATATGCTATTTTCCAAAAATTTTTTTGTTTATGCCTACTCGTACAATAATTATTTAAATTCCATCAAAGAAACGAATGTCTTTGTTGTGTAGAGTGAATACATTTGTGAGTATAATAACTGTTGTTTTTTTTTACTAATGCCTATACCACTTATATAGTGACTGCGGAGTGTATAGGTAAGGAGAACGAAATGGGAAATGAAATGACAATAAAACTCAATGCTGCTGTGTTTCGTATGGAATCGGCGACCCTTTTTACTGGAAACGAGGCATTCCATCTTAGTCCTCACGGGTGACAACGCGTCCGCATTTTGATCGCTACATATATATTTATCTATGATTTTGATTCTTTATCGAGTATAATGTAGATGACAATAACACGTATCTTACGTGTCTATGGTCCACAGGATACACTTACAATCAGGTGGACTGTGTGCTCTTTGGTCACCCTTATAATATAAATAATAGGGTTTTGAATTAAAGTGTTACCAACTAAAGACATTTATTTTCAAGCGTTTGGGAAGTCTCGACAGTCTCAAAATTAGAATAGAGTTTATTTTTGGCGAGATGTCATCGCGTAATAACAATTTTAGTAAGAATCAACATTTATTGAAGATAAAATTAATCACATTTATAAGATTAAATAGCGGTAGTTATTAATGTATTTTTAAATCGATTAATTGCTATTTATACATAAACACTCACGCCTGTCACCCAGAGGGGTAGGCAGAGACTACGGACTTCCATTTGGCGCGATCCTGACACACCTCTCTCGCCTCTTTTACATCCATATATCTACGCATACACGCTCGTCGGTTAAGGGTACTCCTAATCTGGCCCATTTTTAATGTATCGCCGATTTGGTCGATAAACCTTCGTCTAGGGCGTCCCTTCCCGACCCTGCCGTTCACTTCCGCAACATAAATTTGCTTTGTCACTCTTTCCTCGTTCATTCTTTCTACATGACCAAACCACCGAAGCATTCCTTTCTTAATCCTTGTCACAACGTCATCTTGCAAACCACACTTTTCTCTTATCACACTATTTCTTTTTTTTTTTTTGCTATTTATTTGGTTTGTAAACACGATAACTTTTGAAAATATCAATTGTTCAACTCAATATATTTTTAAAACTCTTCGTCTATCATGTGGGAAGCCATTGAATGTAAATGGCAGTTTAGTTTTGTTTAGTTTAGTTATAATTATTTTTTTCGGCTGCGAAATGGCGAAATTTACGGTGTATTCGGCAGCCTTGTATGAATAAATTATTACTAGAGACTGTCACTCAGTTAGTTCGGCATCAGCACAGAGTACCTTTGTATAAACCGAAAGGCGTCAGTCGCCGTCGTGAGTGGACATTGTTACGGTTGTTTGCAGCGGCTCAAAAAGATCGCTGTACAAATACACAATATTCGATTAACCAAATTTCTTAAATATTTGATTATAATAATAATGAGATTTTTTTATTACAATTTTTAAAAGCACAGAATAAATAATAGTAGTACGTACTAAAAGTAAGTAGTATCAATTTTTTCGTCATGGGTGTTTCATGGTTTTCGAGGGTGTTGAAGCCGATAGGGTTGTCGAAATGTAAATCCAAGATGGCGGCTGCAATAGGTATCAATTTTTTCATCATGGGTGTCATTTTCATGGTTTTCGAGGGTGTTGAAGCCGTTAGTGCTGTTGAAATGTATTTAAACTACTTTTAAAAATTCCGTATAATCATGTTATACGTAATTGTTTTAATGCGCTTAGGGCATGCCCAAATAGATTTACCAATTTTTTTTATCATATTGCCTACTTTTATTGGGCATTTTTCAAACAGTCTGGACAATATGAATAATGTCCTATTAATCACTTGCTCTTCTAAATCAGGTTTACCTCAAAACCTGAAAGCGAGATTGTACAACCAGTGCGTGTTGCCAGTGATGACTTACGGATCTGAGACGTGGTCCTTCACTAATGGCCGTATGAGGACCCTCAAGGTCGCTCAGCTAGCTATGGAAAGGGCTGTGCTCGGGGTTTCTTTGCGTGATAAACTTAGAAGATATCCGCAGTAGAACCAGAGTGACCGACATTGTCCAACGGATTAGTAAGCTGAAGTGGCAATGTAGTTCGAAGAACCGACAATCGATGGGGAAAAAAGGTTCTGCAGTGGCAGCCTCGTACCGGTAGACGAAGTGTATGGCGGCCCCCCACTAGATCGAGTGACGATCTGCTAAGACATGCAGGAAGTCGTTGGATGCTGGTGGCTCAGGACCGGCTTAGTGGCATAACTTGGGGAAGGCCTATGTTCAGCAGTGAATGGTTGTAATGATGATGATAATGATGAATCACTTGCTCTATAACCTACTCGTATATAATCAAAGCCATTACAGGAATGAAGGAAATGAGGGTGGATAAAATAAAACAAAATGTTCACTCTTCGATATTATATTTAACACAGGTTATACATTACAACACTTACAGAGTCGCGTCTACTACATACTACATACCGCATTGACTAGATTATAAGCGCATTCATTACTACTAAAACCACGGGCGATGTAGTTTTGGGTTAAAGTAACTTTCCTCAGTAATAGCTATGTGGGGATAATTAAAAATAGTTTCATTAATTGAAAAAAAAATCATCAAAGTTATAGCACAGTTTAAAGACCTTACAGTTGGGAAACGAATGTACTTGTGCAGAGCAACGGTGGGGGTAATGCGGGGCAGGGGGCGGGCCGGCCTTGAGCTAGCGCACTTCACTGAGTCTGATAGACAATACATGCGGTTGGCGCGAGCGTGTTTTATAGTACTTATTTAACCAAATTTAAGTGCCGTTCTCGAAATATAATATCTATAATGGTGGATTAATGTTATAGTTATATGAGTTACTAAGTAAAATTGAATTCTAATGCTTATGTTTCCCTCATGTTTTGTTCATAAAATTGTTTGACCGAATGCGTATACATGACAAAATTAAATTTAACAATCGAAAACTGAAAACATTTATAAAATGAATATGGCACGAAAATATTTGGCAGAGCAACACTTGTAAATGTGTTTTTTTTTCTTGTAGTAATAAAAAATAATCTTGTTCAATAAATGTTTTTAACTTATAAATATATACATAATGTTAATAAATGATGATAAGTATTTTAATATCCAAAATCATTTTATTACCATTTTCGTGACAACCCCTAGTATAAACGCTGGCCGCGTGAATACCTTACACGGGAGACGGCATAGCCGGACGTCAAAGGCGTTTCACAACTGTAAGGTCTCTAAACTGCGGTTATAGTGGTACAGTTAATGAACATAAAATAAAATATTATGTGTATTTTTTGTAGTATATAATAGGTGACAAAAAGAGCACATAGTCCACCTGATGGTTACTGGATACTGTGGCCCATAGACATCTACATCTTTGTACCATTATTTTTATAATCGCATTTAGCACAATCAAAGTTAAATTATAACAACCCTCATTTATTTGTATTGAGAAATAAATTAATCACCTCCATTGACGACACCCGAACTTTCAACTACCCGCAATAATTCAATCTACAGACACGGATTCAATTCCCCGGTCATGTTCACATGCGAGCAGGTCACTTTCTGCCCCGTCGGAACTGCAATCCTGAAGAGCTTCCCTTGTGGCATACAGACACACACCTTGAACTGTCCTGTGCCGAAATTCTCGGAGTTGTTCAGAGGCATGGCTATGGGGAGGTATCTCACATCGACGTAGACCCCTTCCTTCCCACTCAACACTACGGAACCGTTGACCGACTTCAGGTATATGTCCTGGTCGGCGCTCCAGAACAACTCCTTGGTATCCATGTGGGTGCCTTCGGCTCCGCGGAGGTGGACCGTCGTTTCCGAACGGATCACCAGGTCCTCGTCGATCGGTGACGAGATGCGTTTCGTTGAGATTTGCTACGGAGTGAAGTTACAGAAATGTTAATTATGTAGAATATGGTGACAAACGAGCACACAGTCCACCTGCTATGGATGCTGTAGCCCATAGATATCTAAATATTTTTCCGATTAAGAATCAAAATGCAGATGTTTTGTCACCCCTGAGGACTAAAATGGAATTCCTTGTTTCCAGTAAAAAGGGTCTCCAATTCTCTACGCTCACCATACTAAACACAGCAGCAATACGCTGGTATTCTGTAAGAGCGTGGTCCTTCCCCGATCGAGCCAACCTATTCGTGCTACAACCATATAACTGCAGCATCGTCTACGACAGCTCGACAGCTCGATCCCAATGAAATTGCTGCAATTTTATGTGATGATTTATCACTTGCTTACTACCACCTCAAAGTTCAGCCTCAAATGTTACTAATAAATGTCCAAAATGAAATACACTATATTATGATAGAATAGAGTAATTTTCATACAATATATAGATATAGATGACAAGTACATTTATTGAAATGGTTCGGAAAAAAATTCTGTCCTATCAAGATACAGCAAGAAACCCTGCGGGACTTTTTTTAAATAAAATTAAAATATAATATTTTATATAATTAAAAATTTAAAACATTTAGAAACAGCATGGTAGCGATCACCTCATTCCCAGGGGTTATTAACAATCATGTAATCTTTAACAATCAGTATCTTTAACTTTTTTTAATTTATAACCAACCTTAGCTACTAAGTTGTTGACGCCATCAGGCAGGTTCATCTCCGGCGCGTTGGTGCTGAAGACAACCTCTCCCGTATCAGGGTCCCGTAGCTCCATCGAGTTCACACCCTTCACGAACACTCCCGACGTGTTGACCACTAGTTTCGCATCAGAACGGGATAATCTGATAAAAAATATGTATTCAAAGAATAGATTAGAATAAAAATGATCCACATAAAAGTGATCCACTCAAATACACACTAAATTTTTTATTAAGATTGGTCAAACCGTTTAGGACGAGTTCAGTGACAAATATACATAGAGCGATATTATTGTGCTATATAATATATACAAGGTTGTTTTGCAAAAACCGCTCAAATTTGTAGAGAAAGTTCATAATAAGTAATATGGGCAAATGGTAAAGAAAAATTAATTTAAAAATAATCTCAAACGTTCTGTCCTTTTTATCTTTTAAATTCAAAATACGTGCTAATCCATTACTTTAACTGATTGTCATTCATAAATATCTAACGCCTACTATTTTACTGCGCACTCACATATTCGTACTGGTCGACAAAAACGTTGTGAATTGAATCGCACACAGAGGAGCGCGCGTACGCGTAGTTGTTGCACATAAATCACATTCAATTTGGGATAATGTCAAATAAAAATAGAAACCTTATTTATTCGTATTTACAAAAACTGCAATAACGGTATATCATTATTTATATATTTGAAATTTAAGTTTAAAATTTGGCTACTCTTCGAAAAATAACCCTGTAACATAAAGATGAGAATGAGCTTTAACATTGGTACGGAAAAAAGCAAGAAACCCAGCGGGACTTTTTAAAAAAAGATATGTCAACATTTAGAAATAGCATGCTAGCGATCACCTCATTCCCAGGAGTTATTATCAATCATGTTATGGTTTTGTTTCTTGATACATAAGTCCTGCATATGTTCAGAAATTTTGTTGTAAAAGTGTATATATATCATCCCATGAAGGAATTACTGACTCTGGAGTCGAGTAACTGGTACAACTATCTTGTGCTAGTTCCTAGTATTTATAGAATGTACATCGCTGTCTTTACTAAAACTATTTTTATTTTTGTGTTCATACATTAAAAATTGTTTTTGTGTACAACAAATGATGATTTAATGAATGCTTGGTGTTGAAGGTATACATCGATGACTTGATTTCTTAAGTTTGTACAAATTCCAATTGTATAACTTTAATGGGAATTGTGGTTATCTCCAACTTCATGTTTGACGTTTTGTTGCATTGTATTATCTATATTTTTTTTTATAAAACTGAAGTTACAAACAAACTTAACGATTCCAGCCCAAGGTAGTTGCCTGCTGCAGACCATGGACATCTGTAGCCAACTCTATACAAGGGTTACAGATAAGTTGTCACCTCTGGGGACTAAAATGGAATGCCTGTCACAGCCTGTAAGTGCAAGCACTGCTATTTGATGGCAGTAACAGGTGAGACCTAGTGGTACCTAGACAGACTTCTAGGCATATAAGAAGTCCTAAATGTAAAATGTATCAGTATCGATAACTAACCTATATCTTTTTCGGTTTCGATTTAAAGACTTTTATTTCTCATAAGAATATACAATGGATCATTTTTCTATACAAATAAATGAAATTGAAGTGTCTGTTTGTAATGTCAAAATAACAGCTTTTTACTAAATGCATATGAAAGTATATACAGTACTTATAACAAAAAACAATTTTAAAATTTTTTGTCTGTTTGTTTGTTCCGGCTAATCTCCGAAATGGCTGGACCGAATTTGACGGGACTTTCACTGGCAGATAGTAACTTTTCTCACGACGAAGTCGCGGGGAATAGCTAGTGCATAATGAGCTAGTAACGATTAAAAAGAAATAATATTAAAATAACATTATCACATCTACCTTGAGGCAATATAGTCTTAAGATTATTTACTTATACATATTAGGTGCCAAAGAATAGAGATAACACTGTACGTATGTATTTCCTAAGTTCACTTTTGAGATATTTCATATTATTGCAGTTTTTAAGGCATTTGGTAATTTATTGAACAGCTGTGCTCCTTCAATCGACAGCGTAGCAAATTTTTATCCATAATTAGTTTGTGCAGTCATTAGTTAGGAGTTTCTTTTATATTAAAATTTTATTTTAAGTTATAAAATATTGCCATATTGTAAAAAAAAAAACCATGGTTTGCCGAGTGGTTACCTCAGCAAAGAATTCACATGCAAGTTACAAAATATCATTGTTAGCCTGTGTCAAACCTGTAGAGTTAGCAAGGTTGATTGACAATTGTTGACGCTAATAAAAACTATGAAACTGAATTGGAATGATATAATATTATCATAATGTGACAGTCATGTGCCTTAACATCGACTTCATTCAATGCTTTTTCATGTTTACGTGAACACTACACATTTAAATAAAACTAGTTTTTATGGATTTGATCACATATACTAACTCAATTTATACTCTCAATGTTTCAAGCACTTTACAGCATCCATGGTCATAGGGGAGACTGAGATAATCGCCGTCCCAATGTCATAGTTAACCACGGCTACTTCCAGATTAAAATTGATGAACATGGGTGTTGTAAAGTGTCTGAAACGTCGGAAATATAAAATAAGTTAACATACGCGATAAAATCCGTTAAAACTGGTTTTAATTAAAATTATTTCATTTATTTTATTGTCAACTTCAAAAAAGGAATAGGTTTGTAATTAGAATAAGAATTTGTCAATTTTGAATTGATTTCAATGATTATTTTTTTTTTGTTGTTGTTATTATGAGGTGGTTTCGTATACATTTATGCTGCATAAATTCCAACGGTTAAGTGTGGTAAAATAGGGGATGAAGTTTTTAATGTAATTATTCAGACTGTGATATACCTCTCAAAGTAGAGTCTAGTTACTATTTATTAAAAGTTCATTTTATTGTTTTCTATTTGTGTCAACAATTTTAAAAAGTCAACTTCTCTGGGCAGAAAAGATTATTACTTATAAGAGTAAAATATTTTTTTACAATACCACGATTGTTTATTGTATTCATATTTATCTTTTTACATTGTCATCCGCTTTCTGAACTGTGTTCAAAATTTTAAGTCTCTATGTCATCGGAATGATAGTTTAAATCAATTATTATATTATCGATTTTTCCAGACGATACGACTTAGGGACCTTCAAGAAAAGAGCCTATTCCTTTTTAAAAGGCCGGCAACGCATCTGCAATTCCCCTGGTGTTGCGGTTGTTCATGGGCGGCCGCATGCACGTTTGCCCCCTCTTCTATATAAAAAAAAATTACTAAATTCTATCCGAACAGAGATTATTATTTATTTTACATGAAAACAAGTTAATAGAAACATGGTAATAAATTAATAAGATCAAAGAATTACCTGGTTTGGAGATTGAATATCACCGATCCATTCTCACTGGTGATGCTCATTGGGGTGTCACGAAAACCTTCTATCAGTCCATCCCTTTTGTACATGTGGTCAAGATCGGTCTCACCAAAGAATTTGATGGCATTGTGCTCGGGTAAGAATTCCATGCTCTCCATACCTGGAAACAGAGAAAAGTAAGATCAATAAATAATAGGTAAAAAAAAAACTAAAAAAAACGCTTTTGTAGATAACTGAACTAAAAAGTAGAAAATAATTTTCAATAAGTTTAAAATAAGAAAATAGTGATTAACATAAAAATGCATTTTATTGTAAAAAAGCTTGTTTCTAATTGTTAGTGCAGCTAACTACAAAAGCATTTTTTTGGAACAAAGTTCTTTTAAGCGGCTTAAAGTAGATTGAATAGGCAGAAATCGTAGTTGTTTTATGAATTATTCACAAATCCTGAGGATCCTGGCAAGAATAATGGAACAAACTATTTAAATTATTGCATTTGGATCGGTCGTTGATAAGTGTGTGAAGTATCAAATCAATTCAACGTTTGGAAGGGGAGGAAAATTGCATTCAAAAATTCCGTTACATAGATACATACCAAGCTAATAAGTGTGTTAAAAAATACAGTCATACATTCATTTACTCATAACACCCCGTTCAACAAAAAACAATCTATATATTAGTCATCTATATAGTTGGAACTTTGGAAAATGTAAATAGTGATAATAATTTAAACTTGGATTATAATATCTTCCAACAAAATCTTATATCCTCTATACAAAAAAATAAAATTACAAAAAGAAAACAGAATTATCTGCCGAAACAAGATTGGATACAAAACGATATTATTAAAGCAATAGAGAAAAGAAATACGTTAAGGCTAAAACATATTAGAAATCCGTTAAACAAACAGATAGAAGAGGAATTTTTAAAAGAAAGAAAAAATTTAGCACACAATATACAAAGAAGAAAAAATCAGTACTATTACAAATTATTTATGAATTGTGAAAACAAACCAGCAAAAACATGGGCCTTAATAAATAAACGTTCGTACAACTAAATAAAGGAAACTAAGGCTCCAGCTGAACTCCAGACAGAAACTGCCACGCTAACAGATCCTCTAGAAATATGTGAACATTTTAACCAGTACTTTTCAACCATCGGAGAATCTTTGGCAAGCGAAATACCTTCCTCTTTCCATCACAATAATATCTTTGCTACTGATAAACACGCGGTACTGTCGGAAGACCAGATGTTGTCACAACTGATTCCTACCACTACAGAGGAAGTCCTCAGAATCATCAACAACATTAGTCTTAACACAGTGTCAGGTATAAATGGAATTAATACTAAATCTGTCAAGTGTGTTAAAAGCTTAATTGCCCCGGAACTTACAAAATGTATAAATGAATGTCACAATCAGGTATCTTCCCGTGTAGTCTAAAAATAGCTAAAGTCACTCCAATCTTTAAATCTCGAAATAGATCCAATCCTGATAATTGTCGACCTATATCAGTTCTCCCTGTAATCTCAAAGGTATTTGAGAAAATCTTATACAACCGTCTTCAAACATTTTTAGAATCAAACAATTTCTTATATAATAAACAATATGGCTTTAGGCGAAAATCAAACACCCTATCAGCAACCATAGATCTAACTACAAAAATAAAACTTAATATTGATCAAAAACATATTGCATTAGGTATATTTATAGATCTAAAAAAGGCTTTCGATACCGTTAGTCATGATTTACTCCTTAAAAAGTTAAAACACATTGGTATCACAGGTATAGCCTATAATATGATAAAATCTTACTTAACAAATCGCAAGCAAGTAGTAAGAATAAATAAGTTCCAAAGTACACCAAAAACTGTGACATACGGCGTGCCACAAGGATCCATATTAGGGCCGTTGCTATTCTTAATTTATATAAACAACTTAAAAGATAGCCTAAAAGGAGATATAACGTTATATGCCGATGACACAAACCTATTCTATTTCGGCCACTCCTTAAATACTATTATCTCAGACGCGCAAAATGACCTTGACTTAATACATAAATGGTTCCAATACAATCTTCTAACAATAAATATCTCTAAAACTAATTATATCATATTCAAAGCAAAAAATAAGAAAATATTTGATTTTGAGCCTCTAAAAATAAATAACCACCTTATCAAACAATCCAATTGCGAAAAATACCTTGGCTTATTTTTAGATGATAAACTTACATGGAAACCTCAGATAGATAACATTAAATCCAAACTATCATCAATAACCCTTCGAAGTGTAGCTCAGTGTTTCCCACGTAAAATATGTTATGTTATTTACAATTCTCTAGTGAAACCTCACATCTATTATCTTATAGAAATATGGGGCTCAGCCGCAAAGAATAACTTAAACCCAATACAAAGAGCTCAAAACAAGGTTATAAAAGTTCTATTTAACTATAGCTATCTGACACCAACTCATAAAATATATAACGATACTAAACTGTTAAATATAAATCAATCGTACGTTTATCATACATGCATTTTGATTCGTAAAATAATAAATAAAGATATTCACACTCATTTAAGTTTCACTAAAAAGAAGCAAATTCAAAAAATTCAACTAAGAAACGCAAATGATCTCATTCTAAGTGCACCAAGAACTAGTTACGGTAAGAGAAACCTAATGTTTGAAGGGGCACAATTATATAATAAACTTCCTAATGACATTAAGGAATCGCAGTCAAATGTAAGCTTCAAAAAATTACAAAAATATCATATTATAAAATATATAAAATGATGGTCTTACTATTAAATTAAAATATTATTATTAATAAAAACTTTTTATTGTTCATTACTATTAGAATAAAATATTACTAAATATGTATCTCAAGCCACTTCTTGTAACTTGGTGAGCTTAGTTCAACTTTATATCTGTGATTGCATCTATGTCCGACGCTGTGACTGTTTTAAACTGTGACTGTTTTAATTGTTTTCTTAATGTACCCCCAATCTCTGCGTTTCCCCAGATATTGTTATAACTTATAAGTTTTTATGTTCTCATGACAAGTGAATTTTGTATTCTTAATGAGAATAAATTTCTTAAACCACAAACCACAGTTGCTACACCTGGTAGACGGATTGGCAACCATGGTTTTTTATTATTATTATTCGCTGGTACCCAGCACATTGCTGACGTAGAAGAAATAATTGTGGAAATACCGTTTTAAATTTGGAAGAGTAATATCGTTTAATTAGGAATCATAATACACATCATTGAAATTGAATGATCTATAACTTTCAAATTAATTTGTTGGTACAATACACACTCCACGTACTGTAAGTTAATTGTACTATGCCTATAACCTTCGCACAAGCGTAAGCAATAAGTTGACTAAGTTTAACCACAATCTAATGAATGTTATGGCATAAAATATTAACAAACAAATATTAATTTTTATATAATAGTTTAAATAGTCAAATTAAAAATATGTACAGGAGATACTGCTACCCATCTATTTCAGTTTCCCTCTCTTGCTTCTTATAACACCGGGGATGATATGGAGTAGTGGATTGTCTTATCACACCTGCTACCTCTCCCCCTTCATGGCAAAATTACAATTTAAATATATATAAGAAAAGTTAAAGGCTCTATAAATCTCACTGTTGTCACAGTCACAGTCTATTGCTGGATAGATGCCTCTCCATTTTAAATTTACAATTCTAAATCTACAACATACACCATGCTTGGTCTCTTGGCAAGAGTATCAGCCCATGGCAGCGGCATAAGTAATGTAATACCATAAATCCTGTTTCTTATATTTAACCTACATATTTTATATCTTACAATTTTCGAGAATAGATTTTCAATTGTCAAACCACTTTCTTATTTTCGTAGCAATTCCTTTAAAGAATTTTGTAGAAGTAAAGATTCACATGATATATACGGCCTGATTTTTTAAGCTATCTATTTACCACAAATTCATACTTAATATTTACTTGGTTTTTTTTCATTATATTAAATTAAACAAATTACCGTGTCCAAGTCTTAAAACAGCGAGAATTGTAAAGGTCAGTATCAAATTTCCAATGGCAAGCACAAAAAGCAAACAAACGAGCGTCCAAAACGCAAAAGTCTTTCTTCCCGTTTGCATGGATTTAGTAACATTATTTCCATTCTTATCTGAATAGTTTTTCACGCCATTTCCACTGTTTTTATTTAGAAAAACCTGACTATGTGTTGGGGTTTTAGTTATGAGCGCTTTTTCAGCGTGATTCCTATCGAGCGTACTCTCAGACATCGCGTCGGAAAGAGGTGAGACACCGCGGAGACTCGCTAACATTATTCGATGCGGAAATATCACAATTTCCTAATGTAATCATAAAATTTATAAATAGCATAAAACTACGAAACGAAAGTACTAATCTACGTCCATCTACGTCTACGATTTTCATTTAATCAAAATATCAAAATATTGAGCGAAGGTAAGCGTTTTCTATTGGCTGGGGTATAAAGTCATGAACCTATGAAAGAAAGGATTTGGCGGGATATGCCGCGGCCTCGTAGCTAAAGAGCCAATGAGTATTGAGTATTTACATGGGGATTGTCTGGTATATAGTGTATTATCTATGGGGATTGTTGTATTGTTATTTGTTACTATTGTTTTCCTATTAAAGCAGGCAAAAGTCTTAATTCATACATCATAGTCTGTTTTGTATTTTGTTCACAAAACTCTTCACAATATCCTAATGCGTAAATGGTCAAATTCTTGAGAGATTAAGTATACAAAATTAAACCACTTTCACGTATCGAAATTCACTTCAAACCTCTATGGGATAGTCGGTTCATCTTGCAACTGGTTTCGTCCAAGAGCCAAAAAATATAATATTGAAAATTACTATATACGTTTTAGGAATAATTTTTCTTATTTATCCTAATAAAAATTTTACATTTAACATTTTTTTCCAGAAGCTTATTTTCATTTCTAAGTAAACTTTGAAAGTTTTACATTTTATGAAATATTAATAAAATAAATAACTTTAAGCAAAATAAAAATGTGTAATGTAAAAATTATAGAACGTAAAATAAACAACATGACAGCGCGAAATGTTTTTGATTTTGACAAATGTATGAAATGACATTTTGTCATTTTGCATTGTAATCATGGCGTCGGAACGTTACAGTTTTTCTCTTACAACTTTTAGGTAAAAATAAATGTATTTACTAAATTCAAAGCATAGTTCTTTTTACATTTTTTCAGATTCTTACTGCCGTTATTGATTTTTATTCAAAAACTTTGAAAACTGCTTAGAATACAAGTGGAATTGATGCTGGCTTTTATGTTACAATTTTTAAGAAAATATCTACAAATTAAACTTTATTTTCAGCCCGTCTGGAAAATTGGTTCAAATCGAATATGCTTTAGCCGCTGTAGCAGCCGGCGGTACATCCGTCGGAATTAAAGGTAACTTTTAGTTAGCGGGAGGTTATGAGAACGTCTCGATAATTTAACTGTTTCAAGTTTAGCTTTTCACCGTTGATTTCATACAATTTTTATCATTTTCAGCTTCTAATGGCGTCGTGATTGCAACAGAAAATAAACACAAGAGTATCCTGTATGATGAACATAGCGTGAACAAAGTGGAAATGATCACAGGGCATATAGGTAAGCACAATTCAAATAAAAAACAATTAACAACCCATCTTGTTTTAAAATCTCATAATTTTTTATTATCTATCCACAGACAATAAAAGTCCACTGCTGAAGATATCCCGCCCTTATAGATTGCCTCATAGGGGAATCAATCAATAATGTAATATTACAGCAATCTCCTTATTATATTGAATTTCACCATAATTGCCACAGTACTGGCAGGCGGGTTTTGAACTGCAGTTTTCTATAATTTTAAGCTGAAAATGCTGCTTTCCATCTCCAGTTTCAGTTTTCCCCTGCCCCCTCTTGCGATACCCTATATGATATGATGATATGGGTTTGTGGATATCTATAAATCGACACTTGCACCCACAGAGTCAGAAAGCTATTGTGGTTATTCAGATACATAAGACACATCACCGACAAACACCTTATTACTTACATTCATACTACTCTGGTACAATCCATCATACTATAAATTGCTTGCCAATATTAGGTGGTACCCACAAAACTAAAATGATTAAAATTGAGAGGGCTCTTAGAGGGAATTTAAATATATAAAAATTAATAAATATATTAGAAAACTGCAAAAATTAATTAAAACCAAAATGAATGTTAAAAATTATATAAATGTATGCAAAGAAAAGCAAGAATTAATTAATAAACTTAAAATATATTCAATTGAGGTGGAAAATATGAATCACTGTTATGAGACTGATATAGAGTATCTAAATTCAACAATTTTATCCCTTAAAAACCCTACAAATTTTATCAAATAAATATGCATCGGCTCAAGATGAGATAAAAGGACACATATTGGCCATGAATGATCTGGTAAAATCATGTAAATATAATGAGGAGTGCTTTGACTCCTTAATAAAACATCAGAGTGAGTGTCAGTCCTCCATACCAGGTTCATCGGGGACAATATGTGTAAATAACAAAGTAAACAGTAAGGACTCATTATTTTCACCTACACTCTATGACAGTGCCATGATAAAGGATATAAACTTAAAAAGCAATGTAAATATTAAAAAAAATAAAGTTATTATGTATTGTGATGACATAGGCAAAAATTTGGGCATGATGTTAAATAACTGTTTAAAAGGACATATAATCACTAATTATTGCATGCCAGGAGCAACCTTTAGTCATATAATGAATAAAGTTTTAGCTAGTAAATTTTGCCCTAATAGCACATTAATAATTCTTGTTGGGGGGAAGAGGCAATGTAAACAAAAATCAATTATTAAAATATATTGACAATCTAAATACTTTAAATGTACATAAAATTATCTTGGTTACATTGCCTTACATAGACGGTTGGCCGCAGGAAAATAAAATAAGATATGATTTAAATTTATTAATGAATAACTTTTCATGTAATAATAATTTAAACTTGACATTTAATTGTTATAATTATAATAATAAACTTAATTTAATAGACATAAATAATTTAATTAAGAAATTTTTGACTAGAGATAGGTATTACCTATCTAAATATATATATTTTATAGGTAAATATATTTTAAGACAGATAGCAAATGTGCTATCTTATTGTTTATATATTAACTCAGTCAAGGACTTGGCTACACAGACATCTGCTCCTTTTGAGCAGTATAATGACTTAATATGTAATTTGGAATCAGTTCCAAGTAATTTAAATTAGAAAATATAGGTAATCTCTAGCAGTTGTAATAATTTAAATAATTTAGAATGTAGCTTACAAATCTTTAATTGTATATATATCTTTAATTGTGTACTCTACAGAGTAATAATGAAAATTGTTTACACCTGGTGCATCAAAATATACAAGGCATGATAGGCAAAGAGCTAGAAATTGAGTTGTTCTTAAATAGCAACAATATTCATATTTTATGTATTACTGAACATTGGTTAAAAGCTTATAACTTAATGTTTAACTTCAGTAATCACCAGGTGGTCAGTTCTTTCAATAGAGAAACGGTTTTAAGAGGTGGCTCCTTAATATTAGCTAGTAAATTATTGTCATGTAGAGAACGTAAAGATATTGTGAGCCTCTCTGTTGAGCGAACTGTAGAAATGGCATGTGTTGAGTTTGAGCACCTCATTGTTGTGAGCGTCTACAGACCCCCCATGTTCTATATACGATACTTTTGAAAAAATTATGGAGGAAGGTTTTGCTAAACTTAATAAACAGAATAAATCTGTTGTAATATGTGGAGACTTTAATATCAATCTCCTAGAAGCTTCCTCAATCAATATTAAATTTAGATCATTGTTTAAATCATATGGTCTTTTTAATTTATTTTTAGAGCCAACGCGTATTGCTCAATCTAGTGCAACATGTATAGATAACATTTTTATAAATGTAAAGCCCTTGCATAAATGTATAATTCAAAAATTAAGTTCTGTACACTGTGGACAGGTAGTTTCGTTACCTTATGTTCACAAAAAGCAAGTAGATGAGAAAGTTGCGTTTGTTCCAGTAAATGCACGTCGCTTGGAGAAATTTAGAAGTGAAAAAACTTCCATCACTTTCATACCAAAATGATCCCAATTTTTTGTATGGAACATTATTTAAGCTTATTTGCAATGAATTTAATAATACTTTTACTTCTAAAACATTCTCCTTAAACAGTCGGAAGTAATTTAATGAATGGGCGATAGTAGGAGTCCATAGGAGCAGACATAGGTTATATGATCTTTACCATGAAAGGTCATATAATCATAGCGTCGAATATAGGGAATATGTGAAAAAATATTCAAAAATATTTAAAAGAGTGTGCTCCACAGCCAAGTTTTTGCATTTGAACAACAAAATTAAGACAGCTTCTAATAAAATTAAAATGACATGGAGTATAATTAATAGCGAAACTGGTAAGATCAACTCTCGCAATTCAAACTACCAGTTAAGTGTTAGTAACAAATTAACCGAATCAGATCAGGACGTTGCAATGGTTTTTGAGGAATATTTTACTGATATTCTGATATTAACCACTAAGTCACTGAATTCTTCTCCTGCGGTCGCCGAATCATTACTTAAACAAAATGTAAATGCGTGTACAAAGAATTTTGCATTTCATAAAGTATCATCAAAAGATATAGTAAAATATTTTAAAACTATTGATGTTAAGAAAACTGCGGATCTGTGGAAGATTTCCGTTGAAGTTATTGCGTCTATAATAGATACACTTTATACATACTTTTACTGGAAATGAGGCATTCCATCTTAGTCCTCACGGGTGACAACGCATCTACATTTTGATTTGTGACAGAGGATGGATGTGGATGTCTATGGGCCGCAGCAACCACTTACCATCGGGTGGACTGTGTGCTCGTTTGTCACCCTTATCCTATAAAAAAAAATACAATCGTGCCTCATTTAGCTATTATTTTTAATACTAGTATCGAATCTGGTGTGTTTCCTGATTTAATGAAGTATAGTAAAGTAATACCTTTATTTAAATCTGGTAGTACATTAGACCCCGCCAATTTTAGACCTATTTCTGTACTACCAACACTTAGTATGATTTTTGAAAAAATTATTCTTGATCAAATGTTAAATTTCTCTTCATAAAAATCAATTTGGTTTCACAAGGGGTCGCTCGACAACTGATGCCGGTGTTGAGCTGATTAAATATATATTTAATGCATGGGGGAATTCACAGGATGCTTTGGGTATATTTTGTGACCTATCCAAAGCCTTCGATTGTGTTCACCATGAAACATTAATCAGGAAACTTCAACACTACGGTGTAAGAAGTGATGCTCTTAAATTAATTATTTCATATTTAAGTAAGAGAACGCAAAAAGTTGTCATTAACAGTATGAGTTCTTCCGGGTCGATGGTACAAATGGGCGTGCCTCAAGGCTCAATTCTCGGCCCCTTTCTGTTACTTGTATACATTAATGACTTACCTTACATAGTAGGAGATAACCATGATATAGTATTATTTGCAGATGACACTTCTTTAATTTTCAAATTAAGTCGACAATTGCTAAAATATGACGAAGTAAATAATGCTATATCTAAATTAGTAAATTGGTTCACTGTTAATAATTTGCATTTAAATGGCACTAAAACGAAATGTATGAAATTTATTACTCCAAATGTCAAACAATTAAATATTAATGTAATTTTAAATGGGGAGAAACTGAGTCTTGTAGATACCGCCATTTTTTTTGGAATCACACTAGACGCGAAGCTTCAATGAGCCCCCATATATCAAAACTAGCAAGCAGACTTAGTTCTGCAGCATATGCCGTAAAAAAGATTAGAAGTCTAACTAGTGTTGAAACAGCTAGACTAGTTTACTTTAGCTATTTCCATAGCATAATGTCGTATGGTATTTTGCTATGGGGACACGCAGCTGACACTGAAATTATATTTGTTTTACAGAAGAGGGCCATAAGAGCAATTTATGATTTAAAGCCTAAAGAGTCGCTGCGACAAAAATTTAAGGAAATTAATATATTAACTTTGGCCTCTCAATACATTTATGAAAATGTAATGTACGTACACAAAAATAAAAGTAGTTTTACAAAAATAAGTGATATTCATTCTGTAAATACTAGGAACAGACACAAGCTAGTAGTACCAGTTACTGGACTCCATCGAGTCAGTAATTCATTCTTGGGGCGATGTATACGCTTTTACAACAAAATTCCAGAAAATATACAAAATTTGACCTGCTCAAAGTTCAAAAACTTTATTAAACTAAGTTTGTATAAAAAGGGTTATTATAATATTAATGAATTTATAGATGATAATAACCCCTGGAAATGAGGTGATCGCTACCAAGCTATTTCTAATTTGTTGTGTTGTTAATTTGTGTAACATACATGATTGTAAGCTGTTATTTAAAAAAAAGTCCCGCTGGGTTTCTTGCTGGTTCTTCCTAGGACAGAGGTTTTTTTTTCGAACCAGTGGTAATCATACAAAAGAGTGACTATCAATAAGTATTATTTATAATCTATATTGAATAAAAAAGTTTCTGTTTCTGTTTCTGCTCAACATTCACTACTTAAAGTTATGACGTTCAGGAAAATTACATCAGGGTCTTCTGAACTATATGAGGCCTGCAATGTTTTAACTGTAAGGCAACATTACATACTCAAATGTATTCTTAAAACACAAAACTATTTATTAATAATTGAATAATAATTAATTATAATAATCATAATTCTGAAAAAGTTAATGTAATAATGAGTCCCAGATACTTGAAATTAAATAAATAAATAAAAAAAAAATAATCCCAGATCCCAAACTCTCAAGTAAGCATAATCCCTATTCTGTTGTTTTCTACCCTACTGTTAAAACAAAAATTGCTCGTACAAATTTCAATTCCCAATCTCACTTGTATAATAAATGAAATAGGAAACTCAATTTTTACAGCAAACATTACTTTGAGTGTAAAAAATTGATTACTTCTTGGTTGAAACAACTTGACTATGACAGTACAGAATCATTACTTACACACAACATGTAACATATGTTTGTTTGTATACACACGCACACACAAAATTATGAATATTTGGTATTTAGTATATATTCCTGTGTCATCAATACTGTTAGAATATTAGGTCGGCCAACTTGTAACTTAGGTAATACATTATTATCTTGGGAAATAACATCTTTATTCTGCATTCCAATCGATAATATCGGCATTTTGTATTGGGGTTCATCTTTATTGTATTCAACATCGGAATCAAGAGACTCTAAAAGCTCTATTATTTTATTACCACAGATAATTTAGACCACCTTAATTTTATTGAAAAAATTAAATAAAAAAGCCTCTAAAACTCAAAACTCATTGCCACTATATTATTGTCTGTAGACACACTATTTTGAATAAATAAAGAAATAGCCCCTATAGAAATATACAAACAATCCACTGTTCTTATTTTTGCATACAGATGCAATTTAAACCACTGAACATAAAAGAGATGTAGATTGGTTACCTAACCTAACCCTGGCTGCCACTACACTATTATCTATATGAGATTACCCTGATGATCGACTATAGTTGACATCCATAGGTAGGGTGTTAAAAAAAATTGGAAAAAGGTTTATTACAAACAGTATATATATATATATATATATATATATATATATATATGCTAAATTAGACCTCAGTTCATTATATAAATGTAAGTTAAAATTAATATGTGTATACATTATTTTTAATAAGTAATAAATAATAAAGATATGATGGAACTGGCAAAACATTGGGAAAGTTCTTTGAGATGAAATATCTAACAAGTGGTAAAATTAAAAATTTTGTACAACCGAGTTTAATATAAAATTATTAAGGATAAGTCAAAAACTACTGGTCACACCTTGATCAAATTTATATGGGACCACATGAGAAGTACCAGCTTAAATTAAAAAATAATCATTGAAATCAATTCACTGAGAAAAAGGTTTTGAGATAACACATAAAAAAACATACAGCCAAATTGTGTACCACCTCCTTTTAGAAGTTGGTAGAAAATAGCTTTGCATTGGTATGAGAGTGCATTATCTGAATATAACACTAAAGAAACTAAGATTGACTCTTCTGTATCTAAGCTCACAAAACAATAACTTGTTACTTTCAACAGGCATGGTGTATTCTGGCATGGGTCCAGACTACCGTCTCCTAGTGACGCAAGCTCGCAAAATGGCACAGCAGTACTATCTGATGTACCATGAACCCATTCCCACTGCGCAGCTGGTGCAAAGAGTGGCTACGGTGATGCAGGAGTATACTCAGTCTGGGTGAGTTAGTACTAATAACAATAACCTCCAGACCAAATTACAATCACGGTTGCCATTCTCAACAGAGACTAGCCATTTCAATATGACCACTGTAGTTTTTTTTCTACCGCTTACGACCTCTGTGGAATAGCTTTACATCAGCGATTTTTCCGGACCGATACGACTTAGGGACCTTCAAGAAAAGAGATTACTCCTTTCTAAATGGCCGGCAACACTCCAGTTCCCCTGGTGTTGCAGTTGTTCATGGATGGCGGTATTCACTTACCATGAGGTGAGTTGTATGCTCGTTTGCCCCCTCACCTATAAAAAAAAAGATCAAAACCAAGACAAATGGGGCTAACTTATTTTGATCTAACCTGGGATTCGGACACAGACCTTGTGACTCATGATTAGCAATTACATTTACAAACATTAGAAATGGGAGTAATAATAAAATAAAATAAGAATTAAGCTTCAATATATACATGATAGAGCCACTCTGCAGTTATATTAGTTGTAACACAATTGGGTCAGCTCGACTGGGGTAGGTTCACACTCTCACAGAATACTAGTGTAAAATAGCAGCTTAATGCTGCTGTGTTTCGTATGGTGAGTGTAGAGAACTGGAGACCTTACTGGAATTCCATTTTAGTCCTCAGAGGTGACAATGCATCTTCATTTTGAATCTTAATCCACAGAATCCACTTGCCATCAGGTGGACTGTATGCTTGATGCTTGTTTGTCACCATTATTCTAGGAAAAAAAAACTTAATAAAAAGTAAAAATCAACTTTAAAGATATAACTGAGAGTAAGACAGTTTCCACAAAACAGCTTCTAATGTCGGCTGAAGCTTTAGTATCTCTGGATATACTATATTTTAGCCCTTGATTTCTTAACATTGAAGTGTATATCATAGACTTATTTCATATCATACAAATGGTAATATCAATAATGGTGTTAAATACTTTATTTAGCATTGTATACGCCTTACTGCTGGGCACAGGTCTCACTCTCATTTTTGAGGTAGTACCAGAACACGGAAAATTTTGGCGTTCGTTGCTCCAATGCATGTGGACTTCATACCTGAAAGGATACCCATATTAAAAATGCATGATATCGTTTACAGAGGTGTCCGACCGTTTGGAGTTTCCTTACTGATCTGTGGCTGGGAAGAAGGCAGACCATATCTGTTCCAATGTGACCCATCTGGCGCCTACTTCGCTTGGAAGGCGACGGCCATGGGCAAGAATTTTAACAATGGGAAGACATTCCTTGAAAAGAGGTAAGCCAAGTCATCACCATAAATATACTATTTCAAATGTACTTCAGTTTTACGTGTTTTCCTGGCTTCGGGTAGCTACTGTTAATTTCTTTATGGAAAATCTTAATAACTGATTTTTTTTGGCCCGACCCGGGATTCATACCGAGGACCCCATGATTTGTAATCGATCACTATTTCAATGTAATAATAATGAATGATAATATTTGTAACTAACATTCAACAACAGCACAATAATGAAATGAAATAAAATTAGAGAGTTAAATTACACACTCTTAACATAATATTATTATTTATATTACCTAATAAATCTCGATAATTAATTTTGTAATTATCAGAAGAACAGAGTTCAAAAAAGGAGTTACTCAATTCGACTGCATTTTTTTAAATGTGTGTTACCTCAGAACATTTTTCTAGGTGAACCGATTTCGATAATTCTATTCTTATTTGAAAGCTGGTGCCTCTCATGTAGTTCCATATAAATTTGATCAAGGTCTGACCAGTATCTTTTGAGTTATCCTTGATAATACGTATTTAATTGACCTCGACTACATTGATGATGTTCTCGGTTTATTTATATTGAAGTTGCTTGTACAAAATTTTTAATTTTACCACTTGTGTTATTAATATTCACTCAATGAAACTCAACTGCTGAACTGCCTCCCGCATGTAAGTTATTAGTAAAGATTTTTGAAACGAAGTTCCTTATCGGACGTTACGAATTTGGCGGATGAGGGCTAGGTGAGAAAAAGTGAGATTTTTCCGTTACGACCCCTTCGGTGTTGCGTAAATGTTATAAGGAAGCGAGAAGGAATAATATCCATCTTCCTCGCATTTTATATTTTTTATTTTAAATGACGCTTCATTTTAATAGACACTAGTAATTAATTTATTTGTATTTGTTAATCAATAATATAATACGTTTATCAATAACAATATACTACGAAAGGAACTTCGTTCCAAACGATTGTTCTGCTATACTCACACATGTTTTATTTCATTTTAACCTTTTACAATCTACAACAAATGTTTTTTCCTGTCTGCGTGCCCTTTGGACATAGTCATTCCCAAGATATTGCTGCGTCGTGGTGCTATGAGTCAATTTAATACTCTATTTTGTTGCGTTGTTTTTGTAAAAGGCTATTGGAAGTGCCAGAAACATATTGTGTCTTATTGTATATTATAGAGGTTTGCAGTTGTGCACGCATCACGGTAAAACTATTGGATAGATTTCAATTAGGTTTACTAAGTTTTATTTCTTAGACACTTGGCCCTTGTCCAAAAACAAAAATTATAGCGATATCTTCATATAATATAAAGTTATTAAAGTTTTAAGAAACACCGGATTTTTTAAGCACTACGTGTTCAGTGATGTGTGTTTTCTTGATATATCAAGCAACGCGGACGAAGACGCGGGTATCAGCTAGTTTATTGTAAAACTGTCATATCTCTGATGGGAGCAATGTCAAAGGTTACCAATACACTTGACAGGTGTGGTGATTAAGGCAAATATTTTCTGCCGACTTCCGAAAAGGAGACGGTACTTAATTCGATTCAATTTTTTTATGTGTGTTACCTCATAACTTTTTACTGGGTGAACCGATTTCTATGATTCTTTTCTTATTTGAAAGCTGGTACTTCACGTGTGGTCCCATATGAATTTGATCAAGGACAGACCAATAGCTTTTGAGTTATCCTTAATAACTTATATTGAAGTCGGCTGTACAAAATTTTTTATTTTCAAATTATGTGATGATGGTGATGAATGGAAATTAAAGTGAAGATGATTGCATTTTTATGAATAAAAATTTTCACATATAAGTTTCTCTACAGGGTTATTTATCAAAGAGTAGGCAAATTTTATACTTAAGTTCAAATATATAAATAATTGATATACCGTTATTGCAGTTTTTTAAAATACGAGTATACGATAAGGCTTCTACTTTTATTTGAAATTATCCCAAATTGAATGTGATTTAGGCCCGCCGCATATATACGAAATTCCGTTTCGGAATTCCGAACGGGTCGGCCACACATATACGGAATCCCGTATTGCCCGCAAAATTTCGAACGGAAAACTGCCGTACGTGTGTGACGGGTCATAGATATTATATGAACTTGCTACGTTCGGAATTTCGAATCGGAATATCGAAACGGAATTCCGTATGTATGTGGTGGGCCTTATGGGCAACAACGTTTTTGCCTACCGATCGACCCTTAGGCCGGTCACATACATACGGAATTCCGTTTCGTGATTCCGTTTCGGATACCCGAATCGGGATTCCGTGAATGCATCACACACATACGTTTTTTTTCCGTTCGGAATAACAAGGCTCAGTTGAGAGACGTTAGCCATTGAGTGTAGACATTCTGCCAGCGAGTAATGACGACGATTTTCTAATTGCGATTCTATTGTTGCTGTATCATTTTTACTAGGTGCATCCCCTTATCACCCTAAGCTTGCAATATAGTCAATACTATGTAAAAAGATCTATCTATCCAGAGATTTATTTAAATTATTTATGTATGTAAATTCTTTCGACGAATTATTAAATAAAATAAGATGAAAGGTTACGAAAAGCTATACACCTACAAGATTAAATTTAAAAACATACATAAACACACCTACTCGCTTCGGTCTTGCGACGAACACTTAGCGCGTTCCGTACGGAATTTACGTATGTGTGTTGCAACTCGTACAAAATCTATGGAAGACGTGCGTTCGGAGCGACTTTTTTCCGTTCGGGACCCCGAACGCACAGGCGGTCATACGGAATCTCGAATCGGAGAAATTCCGTACGGAAAAATAACGTACGTGTGTGGCGGTTTATAGATTTTATATGGACTTGCTGCGTTCGGAATCCCGAAACGGAATTCCGTATGTATGTGGCCGGCCTTACGAATGTATGCGTGCGCAATAAAGTCAGATAAAATAATGCATAAGGCCGGCCACATACATACGGAATTCCGTTTCGAGATTCCGTTTCGATATTCCGATTCGGAATCCCGAACGCAGCAAGTCCATATAAAATCTATGACCCGCCACACACGTACGGTAGTTTTCCGTTCGATATTTTGCGGGCAAAACGGGATTCCGTTTGTGTGTGGCCGACCATTCGGAATTCCGAAACGGAATCTCGAAACGGAATTCCGTATGTATGTGGCGAGCCTTACAATGCATTTAGAAAAGATATAAAAAGTACAGAATGTTTGATTTTTTTAAAATGAATTTTTCTTCATCATTTATCTATATTACTTATTCTGAACCTTCTCTGCAAATTTGGCTGGTTTTGCAAAATGTATTCTACATAAATTTTACGTTTTCGCTGACACTGATTATCCAATCCAACCGAAGATCTTCTTAGTTGTGTAAAAATATTTCTAAATATTTCAGATATACAGAAGAACTGGAGTTGGATGATGCGGTTCACACCGCGATCCTGACCCTGAAGGAGGGCTTCGAGGGTCAGATGACGGCAGACAACATCGAGGTGGGCATTTGTGATGCAAATGGCTTCCGTAGGCTGGAGCCCGCTCACGTCAAGGACTATCTCGCTAACATACCTTAATATTATATTAATATAAATAAATCTTAAATTTGTTTATTGTTTTGTTTTTTATTGTATTATTACCCTATCCTGGTTTTACTAAATAAAATATCACCTCATTATGTTTTCCTTTCACAACACGAATATTTGATACAAAATACACAGAAAAAATTACATTTTTTTATTAAGTTAGTTTGAATAAAAACTGTAGGCGTCTAGGTTGCCTCCTCTACTCTTTTCCTATGAATCTTGAGCATGCACAGGCCGCTTAGCCTGGTATCTCCCATCGATGAGCGACTCCACGTCTTGAGACGACGTAATATACAGATATAATTATATGTATATATATATTATAGGATAGGGTAACAAACGAGCACACAGTCCATCTGATGGGAAGTGGTTACTATGCAGATGCGTTGTCACCCGTGAGGACTAAGATGGAATGCCTCTTTGCCAGTAAAAAGGGTCTCCGGTTCTCTACACTCACCTCCCGATTATATTAGCTTATCTATGACACTCACCATACGAAACAGCAGCGTTAAGCTGCTATTTTACGCTGGTTTTCTATGAGAGCGTGGTCCTTCCCCGGTCGAGCCGACCCATTCGTGCTACAACTATACTACTAATATAACTGCAGCATGGCTCTACTACGTAATTGAAGTAGTAGTATTAGCTAATAGTAGATGGAGATGCACCACCCTGAAAGTAATCCTAGCGGCGTCCATGGCTGTAATGAATGAACATAACAATGTTTTGATATCGTAGTAGAATCCATCATCATCCTAACAAGAGAAATATTCGAAATTCTAGAAAGATAATTTCGTGGCTTCAGATAGGTGGCGATATAGCAATCAAGCTTACACCTGACGTAATTTTCTTTTATACGTGGAAGTATCATAAATGGAAGTCCTCTGCTATCCGTCGCTAGATGGCGCTGATAGTCGCAATTAACGAGAATGCTTTTTACTGATACATAATTTTTGTCCCCTATTTATGTTATAAAGTAAAAAATAAGTAAATTTTTATTTTATTAAATATTCGGATGTACAAGTAATAGTGTTCTGTAGTGCCTAACGACGCCGAATAACACTTGATCGTTACTCGTATATCTCGATTAGAATTGATTAGAAAGTAAATATACCTAAGCTTTTGGAAGCCGAACCGAATAAAAAGCAAATCTAATATATATATTGTTACGAGCTTGGGGTTCGAGACAATTAAAAACTGCCGATTGAATTACCAAAATTGACACTTTAATTACACAACACTAATTATAATCTAAAATCACACTAATAATAAAACACAGTTCACCGTTATTTCGCTTCGAAGTATTCTCATGTATCGCCAATTCAATACTGCCTCGGTCGTGGTCTATACCGGCCTTATATAGGGCCTCAGATAGTTTCCAGAATCTTCTACTGTAGCGACATCTAGAATGTTCGAGTACATATCGGTCCCGAAATTTCTGGAAGGATCTTGACTCTCCTAGTTCTGCTACTCGAAACTAGAGGGCGCTAGTGTAACTAGTGTTGCCATGTACAAGACATTAATAGTGGCACGCAACAATATTATACAATATGTAACAAAAACCCTGTGGTTCCCGTTAAGTACGTTATCGGGATCATTATTCAAACCTATAGAAATAACTGTTTTTAAAAACTCGAACTATATTTTATTTTATTAAAAAAAAATTGTATGCAAATTGTATATGGTTTTATTACCTCTGCATTGTCTGGGGAGTACGAGGATTGTCATAGACCCCGCTTTACTTAGCTTTAGCATCGGCTAATGTCAGTAAGAGGTAATAAAACCACATAAAAATAAAAAAAAATTTGGTCGAGTTTTAAAAAAAAAGTTATTTCTGTAGGTTTGAATACTGATCCTGATAACGTACTTAACGGGAACCACAGGGTTTTTATTATATGTTGTATATTATATATATATATATATATATATATATATATATATATATATATATATATATATATATATATCCCTGGCCACTCATGTCAAAGAACTCTCAATCAGTATTTATACAAAGTGGTAACAATTTTTTCAGTTCAACTCAAATATCTTTTATGGGTTGCTCAAACACAGTGTCCATTTCAGCAGATTTTTTATTATAGAGAATAAAAAAAAACAAATCAGAACTGTAAGGAGGGTGACCGAAAAGCTTAATCGGTGTGCTGTCCAGGAAGTCCATCGTTTTGAGCGGTGAGTGCCTTATGCACTTTGTCGTATTGTCATTGAGAAGCAGTAGCTCGTGCAGCCCCATGTTCAGACGCTTGTTGTTCACACCAGTGAACACTTCTAGCAAGAATTTAGTAGTATACTATTTGACACTTCGATACTTCGATTGACATCAGATACTCAGTCCACAAGGAAAAAACCCATCAAAATATTCTCTGTGCTTCTCCATCGCTTCACTTTGGTGATAGTAAATTTTTGTTACAACCAAAACGTTGACTGGCGCTTAGTTACTTGATCATTACAGCTCTTCACAAGTCCACTGCTGAATATAGGCCTCCTCCAAGGAATGCCAAAAAGCACGGTCCTGAGCCACCTGCCTCCATCGACTTCCTGCATGTCTTACCAGGTCGCCACTCCATCTAGTGGGGAGTCACCCTACACTTCGCCTATCGTTACGAGGCTGCAACTCGAGAACCTTTTTCCCCATCGGTTCTTCAAGCTATATGGCCGCCCCATTGTCACTTCAGCTTACTAATTCGTTTGGTTGATAAACCTGTAATAACTATTCGTAGTTGTATACTCGCCATGACGAGCCTAATTAAAACTTAATACTTAATCAAACCACGGCACCATTCCACGCGGGACTTCTTTTCAGCAGTGGTGAGGTGCGGCACCCAACGCTAGACTGTCCTCCTCACATAAAGTATTCATATAAAACCTCATGAACGCTTCCCTCCAATCTATAATATGTAAAACTGTTCACACGTAATTCGTCTATTCCTTCAAATGACTTTCTGTGTGGCCTGTCGTACATAGTTCTCTGTGATATTTTCTACAATGACAAAATTGGCTTTTTTTTATTAATAAGAAACAAACGGTTTTCTTAAACAGACATGTACTCGTAATTAAACTTGCCAGAACTTGTTCACGCGTGAACAACAAGCTTCTGAGTGCTCTGAGGAATTGTTCGAACTAATTCCAGCCGCTCAATTGCACCATCGCACTTCGCGACAAAACTTACGATACCATCCATACCATCTGGATGATTGGCGGTCCACCTCTGTGCGATTTAGAAGGAGTTTTCTTCCTCGCATACTTCCTTGTGGTATCCACTGCCACCAGAGATTGCTCCTGACCGATACGACTTAGGGACCTTTAAGAAATAAGCCTACTGTTTTTTAAAAGGCCGGCAACACATCTGCAATTCCCGTGGTGTTGCGGTTGTTTATGGGCGGTGGTAGTCACTTACCTTCAGATGAGCCACATACTCGTTTGCCCCCTGTGCTATAGAAAAAAAACTTATTGTGATTATGGAAGAGGATTAAACTGCCATCATCTGATATCCTTTAATCCAGATTGAGAGTTAATTTTAGCTATGCGTCTGTTAGCAAGATAATGCTATAAAAATCACACACTTGAACATGTTTATCTGATTTCGTTCCATAGATATTTTCAGTTTATACTACACCTATGTTCCGCCCTGTGGATATTTAGCAACGAAGTTTGATTTGATCTGCATAAAGTCATTCTCAATGGAAACATTTCATGTTATTTTTAAATGCTTATTCTATTCTGACTGCCTCGTTGGTCTAGTGGTTGTAGTAGCTCGACTGCTGATCGTGAGGTCCCGGGTCGGGCCAAGAAATCACTTAATGAGCTTTTCCATCAAGAAATTCTCAGTAGCTGCCCGTAGTCAAGAAGTTATCGGTGCCTCGGAAAGCACGTAAAGCCGTTATTCTATAAATAATAATGAAATAATTAGCAAAGGTAAAGGCTCCCTAGTATATTATAGTGTATTATCTATGGCAAAGGCTTTTGTTATGCAAAGACCTAAAACAGTGCGATTTACCATCCAGAAATTCATCACCACTTACCTCCAGTTGGGATTGTGATCAAGCACTGGCTACTAACAAGTTAAAAAAAATTGTGCGTGATTATTACCATGTATATTAAATTATTACCATGTTTGTATAGTATTATATCTAATATTATATATTAGATATTCGAAATCCATCAAGAAAATCGTCACATCGTAAATTATGATAATACAGGGTTATTTTTCAAAGAATAGCCAAATTTTAAAGTTAAGTTCAAATATATAAAAATGACTGTCAGTGCACTTTTTGAAAATACGAAGAAATAAGGCTTCTACTTTTATTTGAAATTATCCCAAATTGAATGTCATTCATGCGATGCGACAACAACAAAAGCGTCTTGTGTGTGCGATTCTATTCAGTTTTTTCCGACCGATCGACCATTTTACGAATGAGTGCGTGCGTAGTAAAATAGTATTATATGAATGACATTCTGTTATAATAATGCATTACCACGCATTTTTAATTTAAAAGGTTTAATTTAAAATAAAAAATTTTGTACAGCCGACTTCAATATAAGTTATTAAGAATAACTCAAAAACGATTGGTCTGACCTTGATCAAATTTATATGGGACCACACAAGAAGTACCAGCTTTCAAATAAAAAAAAAGAATCATCGAAATCGGTTGACCCAGTAAGAAGTTATGAGGTAACACACATAAAAAAAAACATACAGTCGAATTGAGTACCGTCTCCTTTTCGGAAGTCGGCAGAAAAAGCACAGAATGTTTGAGATTTTTTAAAATTAATTGTTCTTCACTATGTGCCTATATCTTCCCGTGGGTGTCGTAAAAGGCGACAAAGGGAAACAGGCAGGAGATGGGCAGCAGCATCTTCCTGATAATAGCCAAAATAATCCTGATAATAGCCAGCAACCGCAGTTTTTTTTATTGTTATTTTGGCTATTATCAGGAAGATCATTATGAATGAATAATGATCTTCCTGATAGTAGCCAAAATAACAATAAAAAAACTGCGGTTGCTGGCAACTATGGCAAAATACCCCCCATGAGCAATGGCAATAATAAACGGCCCCCAGTCCCCGGCGGCCCCGCTATTCTTGGCTACGGTGGCGACCATGGTAACGGCGGGGCAGGGGGTGCTAAGAATCTCCGGTGGAGGTTCGGTTGCCACCTACGACGACTCGACCTGGCAACATACAACGCACGCACCCTGAGGACTGACGAGAAGATTGTGGAGCTGGAAGAAGAGATAGACAAGTTACGCTGGCATATTATAGGATTATCCGAAGTCCGAAGAGAGGGGGAGGACACGGTAATCCTCGAATCCGGCAACTTGCTCTATTACCGGGAGGGCGACCAAGGAGGTGTCGGATTTATCGTCCACAAGTCTCTCGTTAACAACGTTGTAAAGATTGAGAGTGTGTCGACGAGGGTTGCGTACCTTATACTCAGAATCACCAAACGGTATTCGCTGAAGGTCATACAGGTTTACGCACCAACCTCGGCACACCCCGATCAGGAGGTGGAGGAAATGTATGAGGATATCTCTAGAGCCTTGCATTCCTCCAAAACCCAATATACGGTGTTAATGGGAGACTTCAATGCAAAACTAGGCACAAGAGAGAACGGTGAGCTGAAAGTAGGGAAATTTGGAATAGGGCAACGGAACCCAAGGGGCCAGCAGTTGGCTGACTTCATGGAGAAAGAGGGACTCTTTATGATGAACTCTTTCTTCCAGAAGCGGCCCCACAGGAAGTGGACCTGGTCGAGCCCCGACGGTTCGACAAAAAATGAGATTGACTTCATTATGACGACCAGACGACAACTGTTCAGTGATGTCTCAGTGATCGCGAGGGTGAAAACCGGCAGCGATCACCGAATGGTTAGAGGTACACTGAACCTAAACGTTAAGTTGGAGAGGTCTCGTCTAATGAAGTCAACGCTCCGTCCCCCTCGTGCTCTAATCCAAAGTCCCGAAACCTTTCAGCTCGAGTTACAAAACCGTTTTCAGTGCCTAGAAGACTGCAATGAAGTGGACGATTTGAATGACAAGCTCGTGGAAACTGTCCATGCGGTCGGAGCTAAGTTCTGCAAGACCCGCCGCAGAAGAACACAAAAACTCTCCGATCACACTCTTAATCTCATGGCTGTTAGACGGGAGATGAAGCTACATTCTTCAACAGATTTGACAGCATACAGGCAACTGAACAGACAGATTTCCAAATGCATGCGGCGGGACTTACGCAACTTCAATACAGCTCGTATTGAAGAAGCGATCGAGCGGAACCAAGGCTCCAAAGTCTTTGCCAGAGATCTGTCTGCCAGAAAGCGCCAACTGTCAAAGCTGAAGACAGAATGTGGCAGCATCGTTTCCGGGGCACCTGAGATTTTAAGTGAGATTGAGAGGTTCTATGGTCGACTGTACACGTCATCGTTGGAGCCGCACGCAAGTGTGAGTAACGATCCAAGAGCGAGTCTTATCCGACATTATTCCGATGATATCCCGGACGTCAGTCTGAGCGAGATTAGAATGGCTCTCCAGCACCTTAAAAACGGCAAGGCCCCAGGCGAGGATGGAATTACAGCGGAGCTTCTGAAAGCGGGTGGAAAACCGGTGCTTGAAGTCCTTCAGAAGCTCTTTAATTCCGTCCTCCATGGTGGCATTACACCGGAGGCGTGGAGCAGAAGTGCGGTGGTCTTGTTCTTCAAGAAAGGCGACAACGCTCTCTTGAAGAACTACAGACCGATTTCCCTTCTCAGCCGCGTCTACGTGCTGTTTTCGAGGGTCATTACGAATCGTCTCGCGCGCAGACTTGACGACTTCCAGCCTCCCGAACAAGCCGGTTTCCGAAAAGGCTTTAGCACCATAGACCACATACATACCCTTCGGCAAATTGTACAGAAGTCCGAGGAGTACAATTTGCCACTATGTCTGGCGTATGTGGACTATGAGAAAGCCTTTGATTCCGTCGAAATTTGGGCGGTGCTGCAGTCCCTTCAGCGATGCCAAGTTGACTGTCGGTATATCGAAGTGTTGAAGTGCTTGTACAGTAGGGCTACGATGGCTATCCGAGTACAGAACCAGAGTACGAAACCTATCCAATTGCAAAGAGGTGTAAGACAGGGTGACGTCATATCCCCGAAACTCTTTACCGCTGCATTGGAAGATGTTTTCAAGCTTCTGGACTGGAAAGGATACGGTATCAACATCAATGGCGAGTACATCACTCACCTTCGATTTGCCGACGATATAGTCCTTATGGCAGAATCGCTGGAGGACCTAAGCACTATGCTCAATGACCTTAATAGTGTTTCCCAACGGATAGGTCTTAAGATGAACATGGACAAAACAAAGATCATGTTTAATGTCCATGTCACACCTATGCCGGTAGTTGTTGGGAACACTAAGCTCGAAGTTGTTGACGAGTATGTTTACCTGGGACAAATAGTCCGACTAGGTAAGTCCAACTTCGACCGAGAGGTCAATCGACGGATTCAACTCGGTTGGGCAGCGTTCGGGAAATTACGGCACATCTTCTCGTCAGGTATACCTCAAAACTTGAAAACGAGACTGTAGACCCAGTGCGTGTTGCCAGTGATGACATACGGAGCTGAGACGTGGTCCTTCACTGCTGGCCGGATGAGGAAGCTCAAGGTCGCTCAGCGAGCTATGGAGAGGGCTATGCTCGGAGTTTCTCTGCGTGATAAACTCAGAAATGAGGATATCCGCAGTAGAACTAGAGTGACCGACATAGCCCAACGGATTAGTAAGCTGAAGTGGCAATGGGCCGGCCATATAGCTCGAAGAACCGACAACCGATGGGGAAGAAAGGTTCTCGAGTGGCAGCCTCGTACCGGCAGGCGAAGTGTAGGGCGTCCCCCCACTAGATGGAGTGACGACCTGGTAAGATATGCAGGAAGTCGATGGATGCAGGTGGCTCAGGACCGTGCTTTGTGGCATTCTTTGGGGGGGGGGGCCTATGTTCAGCAGTGGACTTGTGAAGGGCTGTAATTATGATGATGATGATGATGTGCCTATATTACTTATTCTAAGTCTTTTCTGCAAATTTGGTCGCATGAAGCAAATATAAAGAGGAGACGTTCTAATTAAGTTTCACTATGTAACAACGCGTGACAATTTGCGGGGTGAGGAGATGCAAAGCCCCGCCCAATTTACACCATCTACATCTACCGATAAATAGTAAAACTATTCGAATCGTTCCATATCGATGTTGCAATGTAGTTTAGCTAGCTAGACGGTAGATGGCGGTATGTTCACAAAATGATTATAAACTATAAAAATAACATTTAGGCGATTAAAATTTCTTTGTCTGAATGCAAAACAAATTTCAGCAACTTCGTATGATTATTTTACCAATACTGAGCTCTACGTTCCTATATATTTTTAGTTAACATAACACAAAGTGTCGCCATCTAGTGTCGAATATATTTAATTATATTTGAAAGCTGACGGAAAGAGATTTTTCTAGAACTATTTTAATAAATTAGGTGTAAAATTACTTACAAATGAAATGTGATGCCATCCATAGCATCAGGGCGTCTATCTGAGTAGTTTTTACACGATAAAATACAACACTTCATCCTTTTCCTCTTAATACTACGAAAATACACCGATTTGCGATTTTCAACACATAAGCTCACAGGACGAGTGCTGACAGTATACTAACTAAAGCCACGCCCACTATGAGGACGTCTACTTAGAATCACAGTGCACAGTTGAATATGCCGTCTCCTCTTTATATTTGCTTCATGTTTGGTCGGTTATTGCAAATTAACCCTGCATATTATTTTTTCTTTACCATCGGGCTTACAACTTATTACCTAAACTAAATAAAAAAGATTACATTTGAAAATAATGTTTTTTTTTCTTTTATACTATATCAGTGACAAAAAAGCACACAATCCACCTGATGGTAAGTGGATGCTGTGGCCCATAAACATCTACATTTATCCTCGATTAAGCATCAAAATGCAGATGAGTTGTAACCCATGAGAACTAAGAAAGAATGCCTCGTTTCCAGTAAAAAGGATTTCCGGTTGAGGTAACACATTAAAAAAAAGAAAAAAAAACATACAGTCGAATAGAGTACCGTCTCCTTTTTGAAGTCGGTAAAAAGTAGAAAGAAGAAGTCAGTAAGAAAGTATATATACCGTACTAAATTGTAACATTGTTATGGTATACCATATCCGATGTCTAGTTTGTAACGTTACAAATTCGCGAACAATCAGCATAATATTACATCAAGAGTAAAAATGAATTGGTTAAATTGATTGTGTTGGTATTGGTTTCAATATTTAAGTAAAGTGATGACACTTGGAACATTCCTAATCTTTCTTTTCTATTAAAATAATGATTAATGAATATAGGAATGAAAACGTGTAGAAGAGGTACTTATCTAGACCACTCCCTCCCTCCAGAGTCAAATCCTTCATTCTACTCATTCAACTTGCATTCATTTCATTCGCTTGTTAATTCATTCAAGTGGCAGTTGTCATGGCGGCAGTGCGTTCATTACGGACTAGTGGTATTTTTCTATTGTTATTTTTAATAACAAAAACGAACGCGGTGTCCGCGCCATGGATATTTTCGGTAGAAGTTAATGACAAAACGTGTTCCGAATTGAAATGTGTTTACAATTTGAATGTGAACGGGTTGGATTTCGATGAGTGGTCGTTAACCTATGAGCCGGCGGTGCGCGGTGCGGAATGTGGGGGGCGATTTCTCGAAGAAAAGCTGACTAAAAACGTGGAAATTGTAGTACCTGTTGCAAAAAAGTTGTTTTTCTGTGCGAAGGGTTCGAAAGGCGTGTGGTTCCATCAAGGCGAAAGCTTATTTTTGGAGGCGAATGACGTCATCGGGGCGAACGCACAGTCCGAACGGTGAGTGTCATTAATTAAATGAAAATGTACCCAGACAAATATATTTTAAAAGTACATACGTACTTGAATGCGATTGCCTAATATTTGTGTCATTACTGGTCAACTTTGTTTTATTTATATCTATAGGCCATTCTATGCGTTATTTGTTTTATTTAAACAATTGATAGAACAAGTGGAAGTAGAAAGTGAAATATGATTACATTTTATTAATGTATACAGAGTTTAGCTATCTTTCGATTTTAACTTTGATTCGCAAGGTCAAATGTGCTACACTGCATGGTACGGATTTTCTGTTAACAATACGTTATATTCATTCATCAATTTTTTGTCTTCAAACAATACATACTGCAAAGCATATAATCACTACATTTTACGATAATGTATTTTTAAATGTTGCGTTGCCGTAACTTGTGCACAGTTGGTGCATTCACTTTTCAGTTATAATGAAGCTTTGCAAATTGCAATATTATGTATGTACTAGCTAGCACGATTGATTAATATGCCAAATTTACCTTTACCTTAAACAAACCACATGATTAAAAAAAAAACGTAAACTACCTACTACTGCTATGCGAATGTTGGCGCCTTTTTTTAAATTACCCGAAATAACTTGCATTGCATAATAATAAAAGAAGCGGTAACGTTTACAAGTAATTATAAGTATAATTCTTAAAGTCGTATACGGTACATACCTATAACAAAAAGAAAAACAACATTTTTAAAATTTTATCTGTTTGTTCCGGCTAATCTCCGAAACGGCTAGACCGAAATAGTTACCTTGCGATTCATGGTCAATTCGGAGAAGGGAAGCGAATTGGTGCGAATTTTTGGAAATTGTAACTATTTAGCATTATATCTCTAATGTGTAACGTACAAATTAGATAAAACCTTAAACAACTAGGCGCGCCTTTCCGCGGTAGTGATTTACATTCCGTTCAGCTTGTAGAAAAAATATCGATGTATCGCTATATCGTCGATACATCGATATTTTTATCCATATATTTTATTTCGATATATCGTTATAAAATATCAAGTATCGAAAATGTTTTGGTGTGTAATTAGATGACGAAACGATGTTTCTAGTTTGGTATTTATATGACTAGTAATACCGATAGATTTATTGAACTGGACTAGTAAAAACAAACATGCATTAAGTGCAAATATTTCATAGAAAATTTCACCGATATATCGATATATCGTTTTCTTCGATATTATGAAATCGATATCTATTATTATATTTTTTAATATCGATACGATATATATCGATCTTAAAAAATATAATAATAGATTCCTGCATCACTACGTTCCGTAAATACTACGAATAACTAGAAGCAAGAAATACCACAGACTAAATAATAAGATGTAATACCATTTTCTCGACCGGCACTCCAGAGTCGATGATTCCTTAATAGTACAATGTATTAGCTTTTACAACCAAAGTCCAGAAAATTTGCAGGGCCTATCTGTCAAAAATTTTAACAAAAGCTGTATTAGTAAAATGTGGTAATATTAAAAATTTTGTACAACTGACTTCAATATAAATTAAACGAGAACATCATTAATGTAGTCTAAGTCAATTAAATACGCATTATTAAGGATAACTCGAAAAACTTACTGGTCAGATCTTGATATCTGGGACATGAGAAGTACCAGCTTCCAAAAAAAAAATCATCAAAATCGGTTCATCTAGAAAAAAGTTATGAGGTAACACACAAAAAATACTGTCGAATTGAGTACCGCCCCTTTTTTGAAGTAGGTTAAAAAGTGTTATTAAAATTTAAAGAATACATGGCTGATAATAACCCCTGGGTACGTAGAAATAATTAAAAAAATCAATTTATGAAAATTTACTTTGTTATAAAAGATAAAATATCTAAAAATATAATATTTTTGTTTTTTAATTAATAGAGCAAATTGAGAGTAATTATTTAAACTAAAAAACTAGACAGACTAGAAGAACTAGAGGACTAACTATTTTATGTTTTATATCAAAATTTAATTTTCGAAAATTGAATTTTTTAAAAAAAAATAGGATTCTAAAATCAGTATTTAAGGAGCAATTAATTGGCATGGAGTTTATTAAAAAAAATATTCTGCGCTAACCTCCTTCCGGTCAATTTTACGTGATAGAGTCATGCTGCAGCTATATTATAGCACGAATGGATCGGCTCGACTGGGGTAGGACCATGCTCTCACAGAATGCCAGCGTAAAAAAAGACTGTGTTTTGATTGGCGAGTGTAGAGATCCACAGACCTGTTTTCTGTCTTAGTCCTCAGGCGTGACAACGCATCGGCATTTTAAGTCTTAATCAAGGATACATGTAAGAACATGACAAAAAAGAACGTGGTATATATTAAAAAGAGATAGTACATTTTTGAAGTGAAGTTCTATAATATCGTTGTGATTTGAAACTCGATGAAAAGAAAAAAACGACGAATTTAGCCTGCGAGAGAATGAGATAGAATATTATAATAAATAGTTGTGTTTAGGCTATCTTGT